ACGTTCCGAACCCGAAACCCTTCCCTAAACCGTCCTAAACCCCAGGAAGGTCTGAAACCAGGTTCTCGAAACACCTTCAATCCACACTTACGATGCTTGTCAAATTTCGAGCGTCTGAGAAAAAGTCCACCCGATGCCCTGCAAGTTATGGCCCATGCAAGCCCAGTCTGACAGGATCAGCTAAAGCTGGGTCGCAGCATCTCACTGCCGCGCCCGGTCATCGAAAGGCAATCGTGGCACGTGATTTCTGCATGACTGGGATTGCATGATAACTTGTGGCTTTTGCTACATTTGGGTGTTCCGGCAGCGCATTTGTGACCGTGTGCTTGTTGGATCCGCAGGTGACAAGTTATGATATGATCCTAGCACGAAGGCCCTCAAAAAGAGGGTTTTGAATTGAGGGCCCGCATTGCTCCCACATTCCAGTGACCTGCGCACTGTTTGCCTCGCATATTCTCATTTCCTTCCCAGTATTGCTCTATATTCAGACCGCTGTTCCCTTGCACTAACCCTAAGGGTCCATGTACTCATATAGTATATACATTGGCCTTAATGTAGTTCCTATTTGGGTACTTTGGGGTCTAAGTATATGCTATATGGGTACATGGACCCTTAGGGTTCTGTGATACCGAAGCCGCAATAATCACCACTGTTCCTCCTTAGGGCTCCTTATTATAACTATACTGTCAAAGAGCCCCAAAACTCCCTTATTCTAAGTAGTAGGCCCACTTATTATATAACTATACTATCAAAGAGCCCAAAACTCCCTTATTCTAAGTAGCAAGCCCCCTCCCTTATTCTAAGTATATGCTATATGGGTACATGGACCCTTAGGGTAATGCATGAAGTAGCTGGCGATCCGGGAAATGATCAAAATTTCACCATTGAATCACGCAGCACGGATGTTACAAAATCTAACGCTGGCCACTGCCATCCGTCGCAATAAAGATCACGGGAGTTCTCCTTAACCCTAGAACAGGAGCCAAAGGGTCCAAGTACCCATTATTGAAGGACTTTGGGGCCTTTTTGGGTACTTAAAACCATAAACAAGGACTACTTGGACCCCTAGGACAGAAGCCCCTAAACCCTAAACCCTAAACCCTAAACCCTGACCCCTAAACCAACCACCCCGGCGGAACAAGCCAAGAGCCAGGCCGTCCGAAGAGGAGGAAGCGCCAGCGAAGCCCAAGAAGCCCTTGAAAAAAGCCAAGACGAGGCCACAGGGTTTAGGGTTTAGGGTTTAAGGTTTAGGGTTTAGGGTTTAGGGCACCTCTGCAAGTGAGAACTCGGGTCTGAATAACCCTAGTACCTAAACCTAAACTCTCAGTTAAGTACAAACCCAATTTGGATCAACTTGGGATAAACCTGATCATCATGCCAGCACATAATATGTCCAATATGTAGCAAAAACAATAACAATAATAGTAATAGTGACAATGTTACCGATAAGGAAGCTGACAATGAGCATGATATGGCTAACCAAATCTCTAGCACGTTAAGGTAGATTTTGCAGATCGCGTCAGCTTTCTGCGCAAATGGGGCTAATCAGGGTTGCCCAGGGCTTTCCAGCCTGGCCTGTTGAAGCAAGGATTGCAACGCAAGGGATTTAGGGTTCAGGGTCCCCTAAACCCTACCCATAGGCCCTAAAGTAGTTCCTTTTTGGGGTTCATATATAGAATCCTATAAGGTAACCCTAAACCCTAAACCCTAAACCCTAAACCCTAAACCCTAAACCCTAAACCCTAGAGGAACTACTATGGGGCCTATGGGTAATGCCCAAGCCTGTCACTTAGGCTTTCCCCGCTGTCTCGCTCCAAAGTCCGCCTGGGATGTTCAATCGGGGCTGTCTTGTTCACGGGGTTTAGGGTTTAGGGTTTAGGGTTTAGGGTTTAGGGCACGGTAGACCCTAGAATCTAAACCAACCCCAAACCCTAAACCCTAAACTCTAAACCCTAAACCGAAGGCAGTTGAAGCCCGGGTCAGAGCTCTTCATGCCAGTGCGAATTCTGAAGCTCGGAACCCCAAGCTGCAGGTTCTGGAAGCCTCCTAAACCCTAAACCCTATACCCTATACCCTAAACCCCAAACCCTAAACCCTAAACCCTAAACCCTATACCCTAAACCCTAAACCCTAAACCCTCCACCCCCAAAGCCAGCTTGAACTGAAGACCCAACAGAGCTTCTCCAAAGCCCCTTTTTTGAACCAAGGAGTCTCTATAGGACCCTTGCTTAGTGGCTGAGTAGGTACCCTTTAACCTTTTGGGGTTGGGGTTTGTATAATCCTACCATAGTTGAGAAGGCTAACCTTTTCTGGGCTAGGGTACTCACCCCCTAAGCTTGAAAAAGGTTGTAAAGCCCCTCATACCCTAAACCCTAAACCCTAAACCCCTTAACCCTAAAACTCTAAACCCCTAAACCCTAAACCCTAAACCCTTAAACCCTAAACATCAGTCTGAAGAGAGCCCCGGAAAGAGCCGAAAGGAAGCTCTAGACTCGATCTCATTAGGCCAGTGCCAGTGGCCCGGCGACAAACACTGCCAATGCCGGACCTGTGGGGGCACCTGGTGAGGAGGGTTCAGGGTTTAGGGTTTAGGGGTTTAGGGTTTCGGGGATTGTATGGATGTTAAGGGTTTGAAGGGTTTGGTTTTGCGGTGTGTTGGAAGGTAAGGTATGCTAGTTGATGGGCGCGTGTTTAGCGCAGGGAGTTTGCAGTTTGGGGTTTAGGGTATAGAGTTTGGGTCCTTAAACCCTGAACCCCAAGCCCTAACCCTAAACCAAGAAGAGAGCCGGCGGTATAGGTTCGGTGTATAAAGCTTGAGATCTAGGGTTTGTAGGGTTGTGGGCATCCCTTGTTTTAAGCTGCCATCGGTATTTGAAGCTCCGCGCTCCGTGTCGGTCATCAGAAAGCGCCCATGCTGCTGATGATGATGATGATGGTGAAGATGGTGACTTTGATGATGGTGTTGGTGACAATGGTGATGGTGATGACGATGATGTTGTTGATTATGATGATGTTGATGATGATGATGCACAGCTTTTATGGAAAGCCTGAAAGCATCGAGTTTCCTAGCCCATCGAAGTAAGTAGCACCGTACTTGGAGTATTCCGTGTAGTAGATGTTGCACGGCTGGTCATGAACCAGAACAGTGGCATTGACCACACTTTACTGTGGTGCCACTAGCTCATGCCTGAAGCATGGGCACCATGGGCTAAGTATTATTTGACATATCGCATGTTACATATTGTACATCATATACTGTATATTACAATATACTACACTATGTACTACATGGGTGGTTGTCAAAATTATGGTCCCTTTTTGGGTCCTTATTAAAATACGGCACTTATTATTTAGGGTACCCCAAAAGGGACCATAATTTTGACAACTACCCATGTATGTTTTCAGTTTGTTCACAACCCCAGACCCCCGGACCCTGAGCCTGCACCAAATCCACAAGCCCCCAGAGCTCGGTTTAGGGTTTAGGGAGCCGGAATCTCGAGCACGGATGTCTTTTCCGGCTTTGATTACAAGAAGCTGCCCGTGTTGACACCCACTGTAGTCTACCATAATATACTATAGTTTACTATATACCATAACCCATAAGAAACTAAAAAATGTACTTCAATCAGGGCCTCAAGGCTAGAGCATCTCAGAAAAACCCTGTACATGAGCACACGGCCAAGGCCACAGGGGGTCGGAAGCTCAGCAGCGGTGCGACGGTCAGTTTAGACAGGAAGACAAAGAGGTTTTCAGGGTTTAGGGTTTAGCGTTTCTAGACCCGAAACCCTAAACCCCGAAACCCTAAACCTAGCGTTTCTATAGGGTTCTGAGTTGAGGATGCACGGGGTCGGCGAAGGTTTGGGGTGGCTCTGCTGCTCAGGGCGTTTGTTCTGGAGGGCCGCATCATATGCAGGTCGTGTAGCTAACCTAGCCGAATTCTCTGGCCCTGGGCACCGACTTAGTCATATTTGTTGAAGAGATCGGCTGAGAAATCCGGGCCCAAGCATGCCTGGCGCCCCCATTTTCCCAGGATTTCATCAGCTACACAGACCACCTTCTCGACACCTTCAAGGTTCCTGCCAGCAGTTTGAGGCTTTTGGATGTTTTGGAGTTTTGGGTTTAGGGATAAGGGTATGGGTTTAGGGTTTAGGGGATGCGTGGCGCCCGAATTACTTGGTAGCCGTATTCTAGTCATGAAGCCCCCTGGAGAGAGTCTGAGAGGGTTACAGTACAGGTGCCCTGACTCGGGTTCAGGGTTTAAGGTTGAGGTTTTAGGGCTTGGGGCTGGTTTAAGGTCTACCTATAGTCTCCATTGTACTTCCTTTTTGGGGATGCCTCAAAAAATCCTTCATATATATTTGGTTATAAACCAAAAAAAGGAACTACAATGGAGACTACCCTAAACCCTAAAC